GCCACCAAAACTTCTTTTTTTTTGCAAATCTCGATCGAAAAATTTTTTTCATAAGACTTCATCATTTGGATCCAATATCATCCTCTATAAGCTTCATATGGATCCCATGCTCTGAAGCTGAGATCCAGCATACCCAAAAATTCTGAATAAAACATTGTCGAACAGCCCCTATCCCTTCTCGGTGCTGAACCCCTGAATATTCTCGACTATTTTAGTACCCGTGACCAAGCTCCAGTCACGGTCACGACTTAAGAAGAAATATTGGTCACGGTGGTCACACTGGGCACTAGTTAGAATAAATTTATCTGTTTCTATGCCTTATTGGATTCTATGTAAGTCTTCTAAAATTTATTTTATTTGAACCTGAATTAGACAGAGGTACTTACGATGTGAATATAGAATTTGTTGGAATAAGTAATAATGCTTGTTGAAATATTAATTTTTCATCATGTTGACATTCAAGTTTGAATTGTTCAATGGCTTTTGTTTGTAATTGCCATTGAGATTGCGTGTTCTTTGAAAACTCAAGTTGTAAAATTGCAATATCAAATTGACGAGTATCAGAACGCCAATTAATACCTATAACAGTTTCAATATAAAATCCACATAATGAATAAGAAGCATATTGATTTTATTTTTCGATTCCTTTCGATTGCTCAATATTTCGACTAAACTTTGTAATTATTATCAAGAGAATGATAAAGATTAATTATAGTTAACCTTGAATTTCTCGTTTTATTATAATAATTTTCAAGATTATATTCATAGAGAGGTTAATGATTAATAATGAATCGAAACATTTAATATTTGAAATAAATCAAAAAAAAAATCAAAATATTTCTCATTTTCTACTTGAATTTCATTTTACTATAATAACCATATATTGCCTATTTATGGATACAATCAATACCTAATGTTGCATTTTTTTTCTTACAACAGTAATGGATCCAAAGACTAGGAAAATCAATTCCATGACCAATTCTTCGTGCTGTAAAAGAAGCAAATATCAAATTTTTGTTTCCAAAAATATGTTTTCAACTTCAATTAATTTACCTTGTGCTTCTTTTTTATTACTCATATTTCTTGTGACTGGTTTTAATATGATTGTATTTCTTATTAATTGTTTATAAAAACAAAGTACATGTTCATCATCAAATGATCTACTAATAACATTCATTTCATCTTTATTCAATAAGCTAAATGCTTGACGTATTAATTGTCCATCGGTTAAATCACCACCTCCGACGACTAGTTTGAAGTTTGATATTTTGGTATTTTTTAAAGTTTCACCTGAAGTTATTTTACATTCTATAGTCTCTATTAATGAATCCCAAATAATATTCAAATATTTTATAAGAACTTTTTCAGCACTTAATTTTGATTCATCAAATGGAAAACTATAATGATACATATAACAATATGGTTGATCATTCATAAGAAAATCCAATAAAAAGAAAAAGCATGGACCAAGAGAGTCACTGCCAATAGTTGTATGACTAATATCAGCTTTATTCATTTCAACATCAACATCTATATGTGGAACCAAAATTTCAGAAATATTTTCATAGTCATTCGTAGAGACCATTGTTTTTGAATAGAAAGTATATAATTATAATGTAATCTAAAAGAGAAGATCTCTATTTTATTCGAATAACGATGATTGATATAATGCATAGTTCATCTATATCTAGTATTAGCAATCGTTTCTAACTGAAGAATTAATTGATTTTAAACATAACAAAAACAAAAACTATGAAAGATTTTATAAAATAAACTAATTGATTCATTCTTGCCTCTACGATGCATAGATTTTCTACTCGTCTAAAAGTAAACAAGTTAATAGTCGAACAATAAACAAATACTATAGAGGAAAGAAAGAAAATTCATTAGTTTAATCGTTTCAAATAGATTCTATCAATCGATAGATTAAACAGTGTGCAATTGGTTGTTGTTTTTCTTGTAAAATAGTAACTATTTATATTCAATTGAGTTTTATTTAAAGGTTCGATAATAATTTCTGTTGTTTTTGTAGCGTTTGAAATATGAATATATCAATAACAAGATAAATTCTTAAATTATCTTTCATAAATATATGTTTGAATATTATTTTTAGAAAAATATTCTATCAATCAATACAGGATAAAACAAACGTGTTGGTCTATAAAAGAAATTCTTTTTCGAATAAATCTAAAACGTTTACAATACTATACATGAACTGATTGATTCTGTTTTCATGGTTATCTTCATTAATTATATAGATGTATTGTAGATCAAACGACTGATAAAGAAGTTCTGGTGTATTACGAAAAATTTTTCGTTCTAACATAATAGTTTTATGTATTTCTTGTATATTGAATAGAAATTAATAATTAACAAGATATCATAGAAATCATGAAAAGAAAAGATATTTTTTCCCATCATTCTAACAGATTGAAAGTAACTCACATATTCATTCAGATATTTATGTAGAATTTCACTGCATTTGATGAAACAATTAATTACGTCATGTTCAATGTCAAGAAAATTTTTGATGTTTTTTATTTTGATGATATCAGACTTTTCTCTGATTATGTGTATTTAACCAAAATTTTTTGTAGGAAAATTGTTTTATTTGATTTAGTACCA